AAGTTAACTACCCCCATGAAAACACAGAAAATAAATAATCTCATACCAGCAAAACCAAAAGAAGAGAATCACTCATATACACACAAACACACACATACCACCACCAACAACAACAACAACAATAACAACAACAACAACAACAACAAAATAACAGGAATCAACAATCATTGGTCATTGATATGTCTTAGCATCAACCATCTCAATTCCCTAATAAAAAAGACACAGGTAGGTCCAGCCCCCTCCTCCCAGGCCAAGCCAAGCAATCCTGCATAGGCCCCAGGTTTCAAACAGCCAACTCATGCAATGAGCACAGGTGGGCTGGGGGGAAGGTGAGGGGTGTTGTTAGAGTTTTTTCTGCCTGGCCCACAGTCAGGACAAATCTCTCTCACCCGCCAGTCCCACAGCCTCTCAGACCCAACCAAATAAACATAGAGACTTATATTGGTTTTAAACTGTATGGCCGTGGCAGGCTTTTTGTTAACTGTTCTTACAGCTTAAATTAATCCATTTTTATTAATCTATACCTTGCCACATGGCTTGTGGCTTACCGGTACTTTACATCTTTCTTGTCCTGATGGCGGCTGGCAGTGTCTCTCTCACCCAGCTTTCTGTTCTTTCAATTTGGTTGGGTCTGAGAGGCTGTGGGACTGGCGGATGAGAGAGATTTGTCCTGACTGTGGGCCAGGCAGGAAAACATTAACAACAGGGGGCGGGGGGAGAACAAGGGAATCCGTGGCTGATATGTAGAAATGAATTGTATTGCAAAATAAAAATAAAAATAAAGACACAGGCTAACAGAGTGGATGCAAAAACAGGATCCATCCTTCTGCTGCATACAAGAAACATACCTCAACATCAAGGATAGACATTATCTCAAGGTAAAAGTTTAGAAAAAGACATTCAACACAAATAGACCTACAAAGCAAGCTAGTGTAGCTATTTTAATATCTAACAAAGTAGACTTCAAACTAAAACTAATCAAAAAAGATGGAGAAGAACATTTCATACTCCTCAAAGGAAAAATCCACCAAGATGACATTTCAATTCTTAATATCTATGCCCCAAACAAAAGGGTACCCACTTTTGTAAGAAGAAACACCACTACAGCTTAAATCACATATTAACCCTCACTGATAGTGAGAGACTTCAATACTCCATTCTCATCAATGGACCGGTCATCCAGACAAAAACTAAACTGAGAAATATTGGAACTAACAGATGTTATAAACCAAAGGACCTAGCAGATATTTATAGAACATTTCACCCAAACATAAAAGAATATATCTTCTTCTGTGTACCTCACAGAACTTTCTCCAAAATTGACCACATACCCAGACACAAAGCAAGTCTCAATAGATATAAGAAAGGTGACATAACTCCCCGTATCCTATTAGACCACCATGAATTAAAGTTGGATATCAACAAAAACAGAAAGCTTACAAACTCATGAAAGCTGAACAATTCTCTACTGAAAGAAAAATGGGTCAAGACAGAGATAAGAAAGAAACTAAAGAATTTTTAGAATTCAATGAAAATGAATACACAGCATACTCAAACTTATGAGACACAATGAAAGTGGTGCTAAGAGGAAAGTTCACAGCACAAGTGCCTATGTAAAGAAATGGGAGAGGTCTCACACTGGCAACTTAACAGCACACCTGAAAACTCTAGAATAAAAAGAAGTAAGCACACCCAAGAGGAGTGGATGGCAAGAAATAGTCAAACTGAGAACTGAAATCAATGAAATAAAAACAAAGAGAGCAATACTAAAAATCAATGAAACAAAGAGTTGGTTCTTTGAGAATATCAACAAGATAAACAAACGCTTATCCAAACTAACTAAAAGACATAGAGAAAATATCCAAATTAACAAAATCAGAATCAAAGCAGGGACACAATAGACTAAAGAAATCCAGAGAATAATAAGGACATACTTTAAAAACCTATACTCCATCAAATTGCAAAATCTAAAAGAAATGAATAATTTTCTTGATAGGTACTACTTTCCAAAGTTAAATCAAGATCAGATAAACATTTAAATAGACCTATAACCCCTAATGAAATAGAAGCACTCATTATATCTCTCAACCAAAAAAGCCCAGAGTCAGCCCACATGATCACTTCATTAGATGCTAAAAAAGCCTTTGACAAAATCCAATACTCCTTCATAATAAAAGTTCTGGAGTGATTAGGAATACAAGGGACATACCTAAACATAATAAAGACAATTTACAGCAAGCCTATTGCTAACATCAAATTAAATTGAGAAACTCAAAGCAATTCCACTAAAATCAGAAACAAGATAAGATTGTACACCTTCTTCATATCTATTCAATATAGTACTTGAAGTTCTAGCTAGATCAATAAAACAACTGAAGGAGACCAAAGGAATACTAATTGGAAAGGAAGAAGTCGAAGTATTGTTATTCACAGATAATATGATAGTATACATATACCCTAAAAGTTCCACCAGGGAACTCCCCCAGCTGATAAACACTTCCAACAAAGTAGCTGGATACAAGATTAAGCAAAAAAAAAAAATCAGTATCCATCCTATATATAAATGACAAACAGATTAAGAAAGAAATCAGGAAAACAGAACTTTTTATAATGGCCTCAGATAATACAAAATATCTTGGTGTAACTCAACCAAGTGAAAGACCTGTGTGACAAAAACTTCAAATCTTTGAAGAAAGAAATTAAAGAAACTATCAGAAGATGAAAGATCTCCCAGGCTCATGGATCTGTAGGATGAATATAGCAAAAATGGTCATCTTACTAAAAGCAATCTACAGATTCAATGCAACCCCCAACAAAATTCCAACACAGTTCTTTATAGGCCTTAGAAGGACAATTCTCAACCTCATATGGAAAAACAAAAAATTCAGGATAGCTACAACAATCCTGAACAATAAAATAACCATTGGATACAGTGCCATCTCTGATTTTAAGTTGTACTACAGAGCTATAGTAATAAAAACTGCATGGAATTGGCTTTAAAACAGATAGCCTGATCAACAGAATTAAATTGAAGACCCAGACATAAATCCACATACCTATGGGCACCAGATGTTTGATTTAAAATCCAGAAATACACACTGGAAAAAAAGATGGCGTCTTCAACAAATGGTGCTGGTCAGACTGGATGGTTGTATGTAAAAGAATGCAAATAGATTCATATTTATCACCTTGCACAAAACTAAAGCCCAAGTAGTTCAAAGACCTCAACATAAAACCAGACACACTGAACCTGACAGAAGAGAAAGCATGGAATGCATTGGCATAGGAGACAATTTTCTGAACAGAATATCAATAGCATAGACACTAAGATCAAAAATTATTAAATGGGACCTCATGAAACTGAAAAGCTTCTGTAAGACAAAGGATACCATCAATAGGATAAAATGGCAGCCTACAAAATGGGGAAAGATATTTAACAACTCCACATCCAATAGAGGACTAATACCAAAATATGTAAAGAAGTCAAGAAACTAGACATCAACAAACCAAATAATCCAATTAAAAAATAGAGTACAGATCTAAACAGAGATTACTCAACAGAGGAAACTCAAATGGCTGAGAAACTCTTTAAAGAAATGTTTAACATCCTTAGCCATCAGAGCAACAAAAACCAAAGCTAGTTTGAGATTCCATCTTACATCTGTTAGAGTGGCTAAGATCAATAACACAAGTGACAGCTCAAGCTGGAGAGGATGTGGAGCAAGGGGAATACTCCTCCATTGCTGGTGGGAGTGCAAACTTGTATAGCCACTATGGAAATCAATATGGTGGTTCCTCAGAAAATTCGGAATTGATGTACCTCAAGACCCAGCTATACTACTCTTGGGTGTATATCCAAAGGACACTCCCATCCTACCACAAGGATACTTACTCAACTATGCTCAACTCATTATAGCTTTATTCATAATAGCCAGAAACAGGAAAAAAACAAGATTCTCCTCAACCAAAGAATTGATACAGAAAATGTGGTACATTTCCACAATGGTGTATTACTCAGCTGTTAAAAAACAATGGCATCATGAAAATTTGCAGGCAAATGGATAGAATTAGAAAAAAAAAATCATCCTGAGTGAGGTAACCCAGACTCAGAAAGACAAATATGGGATGTATTCACTTATAAGTAGATAGTAGCCATTAAGTAAACAGTAACGATTAAGTACAATCCTTAGATCAAGAGAGGTTAGGTAAATAGGGCTCTATGGGATGCACGGATCTCAAGGGAAAGGGGAAATAGAATAGATTTTGTGAGTGGGCTAGGGTGCAGATGGAGACTGGAACAGGAGGGATCATGTTTGGGGGAGACAGGAGTATGGGGAGAGACAGCTGGAATTGGGAGGCACTTGGCAGTGTGGAAACCTAGTGCAATGGAAACTTGGAATCTATAAGGGTGACCCTAGTGAGGACTCCTAGTAATGGGGGATATGGAGTCTAAACTGATCATTCCTTGTAGCCAGGCAAGGCTTCCAGTGGTGGGACTGGTTGCATTCAGTTGAGTTGTTGGCCAAGGGAGTCCCATGGAGATCCCTAAAGAACCCAGGCTGATGCTAGGACAGAGGGTTGTTCCCCGAAAGCTGACAGCAGGGCCCCACTGCCGAGGACAATATCTACACAGCTCTTTGAACATGGAGAAGTCAAGCTGGTGCCTGCATGAAGCCTTCACCCCTACATTCTAATCTCTTTGATGCAGAAAGGTACTCTGCAGGCTACTGAAAGAGAAACCTGGACACCAACCCAGTCACAAAACCTTTGACCTACAATCTGTCCTGTCTGCAAGATGTGCGGGGGCAATGTTAGTGCAGAACTTGTGGGACTGACCAATCAATGTCTGATTTAACTTGAGTCCTACAAGAGGGAGTCCATGCCCAACACTATTTAGATGGCCACAAACCAAACACTAGATAACCCAGAGACCTAGGATAGAACCAAGCACTACTGGCAAAGAAAAATAAAAGATTCCTATGATATTCTGCTCTACTCACAGATCAATGCTGTGTCCAGTTGTCATCAGAGAGGCTCCCCCAGCAGCAGATGGGAGCAGATGTTAAGACCCACAGCCAGACATTATGCAGAGAGACAGTCTAAATTAGAGGTCTCCATCAGGTCCTCCCCTCCAAGCTCAGGGAATCCTGTGGAAGAAGGGGCAGAAAGACTGTAAGAGCCAGAGGCGATGGAGGACACCAGGAGAACATGGCTCACTGAATCAACTAAGCAAGTTGCAAATGAGCTCCCAGAGACTGAAGCAGCAAGCACAGGGCCTGCAGAGGTCTGTCTGCACCAGGTCCTCTGTTATCTTGGTGTTTTTGTGGAACTTGTAACTGTGGTAGTAGGTGTGTCTTTGACTCTTGCATACTCTTGGGAGTTTTTTCTCCCTGTTGGGTTGCCTTGTCCAGCTTTGGTGTGAAGGTTTTTGCTTTTTCTTACTGTATTTTGTTTTGTCATTTTGGTGGTTGTTGTCTCTTGGAGGCCTGCTCTTTTCTGAAAGGAGATGGAGGAGGAGTGGATCCAGGAAGAGGGTGCTGGCAGGAGTGGAGGGAAGGGGAAACTGTGATCAGGATGTATTGTATGAGAGAACAATCTATTTTTTAAAAAACAACAATATGGGGCTCAATCATTTACCAGAACCAAATAAAATGACTAGCTCCCCAATAAGATGCAGGCAAATCCGAAATCTGAATCTCCCTACTGCTGACTCTTGTCTCTACAGCTTAACAAATCAAGTTTGTTCAGGCTCATTCATTTACAAACGTTGGCTGACATCCAGCATTGCCAGTCTGAGCTCATGGGTCCCAAGGAGCTCCTTATGTCTGTGGTCTGTGGTCTTCCACAGCTAACAATCAGCTCCCTGATGCAGTGCAACTGCCATTTCCACTCTGGTCATGTTACCATAGGGATCACATCATAGTTCTTTGTAGGAACTAGCTGTAATGCTTTTGTTAATGGCCCATGGCCTCTGCTCTTGAGACAGCAGAAGTATTAGGCAGTGAAAGTACTTGCTTCTGAGATTCCTCTCCTTCACCCAGGATGAAGGAGGGCAGGGACAGAGAAGGGAGTGTGCCCATTGCACCAAAAGACCTTTCTACCAGTCCTGTTACTAAGTCAGGGAAATTAGATGTCTTTAGATGTTGAAGAAGGAGGTGCCATAATGCCACATCAAGGGAGGAAAGAATTAAGAGATCCTGGTCAAAGCACACCCAATTTTAGTTGGATGAGAAGAATGCATTCAAGAGATCGGCATAGTGACTAAAGCCAGTAACAAAAAAAAAGGAAAAGATTGCGAAAAACCACGGAAAGTGTAATGCAAAGGTTCTTATCTCTAAAAGGTAAGTACGTCTTTACAGTTGGAGTGTAAAATGTCCTTTATAGGCTTGTGTGTTTGAATACTTGGTCCTCCACTTACGAAGCTATTTTGGGAGACTGTTGAATCTTTAAGAGGTGAGGCTTGATTTCTTTCTCTCTTTCCTTGCCATGGAGATATGACTAAAGATGAGGCCTAGCAGGGAGAAGCAGACACACTGGAAGGGTGAGGAGGAAGAGCAAGTCTTAGAGGGCATAGCATGGACCCATTTCCAACCCAAACAATCTGGGTCTCTGGGTCTCTCTCTGTGTCTGTCTCTGTGTGTGTGTGTGTGTGTGTGTGTGTGTGTGTGTGTGTTAGCCAAGAAGATGGATGAGAATATGGCAGCTCACACTCCCGATGTGTGATGGCTACCATGCCTTTCCAGTTATGAAACCTTAAACTAAAATAAATCCTTCTTTTAGTAAGTTGCTTCTGTCAAGTATTAGGTTCCAGTGAGGAGAAAAGATATATATATATATGAAATTAAAAAAACTTTAATTAGTCCTGAGACTCCACATTACACCTAATGAACATATTCACTTTTATTTGCAAATTAAAAACAACTTTGAAAAACAAACCAGGAGTCAGGAGACCGGGGTTCTAGCTCAACTCAATCACCAGTGAAGCAGGATTCTAATTAGTCTTAACAATAAAAACATGGAGTCAGATATTGAGGGTGAAAGCTGAAAGATCAGAGCAGAGCAGCAGCCACTGGAGACTTCTTACCTCTATGAATCCTCAGACCAAAATGAGGGGACGGGGGCAAGATCCTGTCTCCACCTCCCTAGTGCTGGGATTAAAGGCATGTACCACCACCACCTGGCTCTGTTTCTCTTTTAGACTGGTTCAATTTCTTGTAGCCCAGGGTGGCCTTGAACTCCTCATCTTCCTGCTTCCTCCTCCCAAGTGCTGGGATTAAAGGTGTGTGCCACCACTGCCTGGCCTCTATGGTTAACTAATGGCTAGCTCTGTCCTTTGATCTCCAAGCAAGCTTTATTTGTCATAACACAAACAAAATATCATACAACAAATCAGCTCTCGGAAAAGACACAGTTCACAAAATCTCTCCAGGGCCTGTTCTTTCATCAATACATCAGTGGACTTAATCCAATGTGTTTTGTGTTCAAAACTGCCTCAGTATTTTGATAAGCCTTTGTGTTTCCAACTTGCAACTGTTTTCACCCCTATTGGACCACAGTGAGTAAGAGCTGTCAGGTAAAAGACACGAAAACCAAACAAGACTAAAAATGATACCCTGTCAGCAGCAGAATCAGAGGATGAAAGGCCCAGAGGTAAAGAGAAGATTCAGATCCTCAGGAAAAAAAAAAAAAAAAAAACCCACCATGACCTATGTATGGAGAAGCAAGCAAGAAGTAAGGCACACCGAGCAATGAATTTAGTCTGAGCTACATAGCTGATTAGGATTTATCTATCCCAAGCCAGAAAATACGGAGCCCAATGAAAAGGTCAAAGAATTGGGAGGCATTGGGCTTGGAGGAAAATTCAAATCCCAACAAGCACTCCTCTAAACACTTTAAGCCTTGTGGTTGGGCTGTGCATTCCAAAGCCACAGTGGGAGCCGTGAGAAATAAATGTGTAATGGAATATAATTGTTCTTTCCTCAGAGGGGTTTCCAGTATTTAAACAGATAATGAAAAGTGTGTGTGTGTGTGTGTGTGCGTGCGCGCGCGCACACGTGCATGTGTCCAAAGCACAAGAGGTCCGTGTGTGAGATACGAGAATCCTAGGGTTTATTTTGCACCCCATTTTGTTGTTGCCATTGTCCCATCCACAGGCTCGAGGCCACACTGCTGCAGTCCCCTCTAATCCCTCCGCTTTGATTCCGGGCAGAGCTCTATTTTCTTGGAGCTTAGGAGAAAGCTTACTTGTCACTTTTACAGACATTTGCTGACTACCTACAGGAAGTCAAATATTATGGCAGGAATTTAATATAGAGGTACATCAATGGCTAATTAAAAAGTCAGCTATCTTGACATTAATTTTCTGATTCCATTCCAGTTCCTTGCTGCTAAACAACCCAAGAAGCTTTCTGGAGAGTTCTAAAGACTGTGCTCCAGGCCTTGAAGGAATCTTAGTAAAATGAAGAAGAATGGAGTTCTTGTGCCAGGTCTACTGGTAACTTGTTTTGAGCCAAGGTTAGCAAAACTATTTGAGCTCTTAGCTTCTCTCTCTCTCTCTCTCTCTCTCTCTCTCTCTCTCTCTCTCTCTCTCTCTCTCTCTCTCTCTCTTTCTCTCTTTCCCACAGGATTCTGGGAGGAGCCAGTGAGTTGTTAACTGTGAAATCACTTTGAAATATGGTCTGGCTGATGACAAGCCAGAACCCTGCAACTGCAAGATGTAGATGTCATTGGAATCCAGGCTTCCATTCAGACAGGCTTCCTCAGCCATCCATGCTTCCATCAGCTGTCACTGTGCCTTCTCCTCAAACCATGGGAATTTCAAATGCTGGCACAGGCTCATCTGGAATTCACACACCCGAGCTCCAAGCAGACAAGGACATTCCGAAATTGGAAATGCAGGAAAATGGCAGGTGCTACTGCTCTTCATGAAAAATGAGTTTTAGAGATACAGCCTTGCTCCTCCCAAAGATGCCTGGGGTTTGTGGGTGATTTGTAATGCTTTCACTGAAAAGCCCTCATCCCCATGAACACATTTTGAAGATAGAAATCAATCTTACAAAATAACAGGGGGAGAAAATCTGTTAGGAAAAATGAAGAGGAAAAAAAACCCACCTTATTCCAGAATCCTTTCTACTAAATAAATGAGTTCCAGAGGGGGAAGGCCATATCCATATTTTCCCTTCATTCTTGCCATTCACTGATCAAGTATGAGAGGGAAGATTGAAGAGAGAAACTGTTACCCAGCTCTACCAGCCATTCCATCTCAATAATTCAGGCTGGATGCCATCAGAGAGAGAAAATATTTGTCATTTCACCTCAGAGACTTCCTCACCTTATCTTTGGCATCTGATACTATGTCAGTCTTCATCTACAGCAGGAAATAACTAAAACTCCCCCACAAAACCACTCACAAGAGCGGACCATGATACAATAGGCATCACTATGCAACATGGCAGCCACTGTCCCTCGGGTATAGTTGCCACATTTAAGTGAATACAGCAGGAACACAGTGGTGCACTTGGACTCCCAGGCCCAGCTGAACTGTGCCTCCGACTCTGAGACTAGGGAGTGATACACTGTGAACACTCTGAAAAGAATGCACAGCCTCACAGAATGCATGGCGGTAAGAATTTCACCCATTTCAGGAGGAGGTAAACTACTGATCCAGGTAGAATTCAGGAAAGGGTGTGGGGTAACGGTAGGAGGGTTAGAGGAGACTAGCAGTGGGCTGGGGAGAAAGGTTAGGAAGTATGTCCTTGGACGCACCAGTCTGAAATGGATGTCCACCAGCGTGCAGAGAGGTCTCCTCTTACACTGGGAAGTACCCACTCCTTTCCAATTAGACAGGTCTAGCCTCTTTTGGAGACCCTACATACCTTCATAAGAGTTTTGCAGTGACCTGAAGAACAGAAAAGCTCTGGAAAAGAAGTGTTGACATCTGCAGATGCTGCTGCTTTCCTCCTGTCCCCAGAGCCCGACAGACCTCCTCTTTTCGCCCTCTCCAGAGGAATCTTGTGGGGAGGGAACGTGGCTCAGGCTCATCAGCAAATCACTTACCCGCCATGAGTAAGGCTTTGAGTTTGATCCCAACACCACAAAACAGAAAAGTAAACAATGAACAATCATGTGGCCAAATGGTATTCTTCTC